TATATATAAATAATCATATTAAAATCTTTCAATTTATATATAATGTATACATACACATATAATTTATATCATAATTAGTTCACATTAAATGTTCTTTACGAGGAAATAAAAGTGTACAAGTAATGATGAAATATTTGAAATATCCTTTAAAAAAGTATGCATGATGATTCATACATTCATTGTTTATGAGATCAAAATTCCCACCTCCATCAAATGCCCAAAGAACTGAATCTGATGTTGTTACAACAGTACATTATACAACCATCACCTTTTTTTCCATTGCTCCGTTATTCAAAACATAAACATCAAAACTACCAGTTCCCAGTTTTAATGAATTCTTCATTTTTCATTCACTTATTTCTGCCATGGCATCAATCATATCTTTGTATTTTTCCTCATCAAGACTTTTAAATAGAAAATTGTTAGATTAATGTTGCTATTCAGTTTTTAGATGGCAATTTTCACATATTCATTGTTTTGACCGATTCTATGAGTTTTGGGAGATCAACAGGAAAATAAATAATCGGTAGTATTACTTTAGAGTTCAAACTTCTTTATTTTCTGCCACTTGTTTCACTGACACGACCCTTACGTCCGTTCAATAATTTGTCTCGTGAGAAATAAACTTCACATTATTATAGATATTTCGGCAAAATAAAAGTCTGGCCTAGAAATAGTATACACATTTTATAATCAGTATTTATGTTCCCTTGGTTTTCAGAGTGATTCCTGTCTGATAAAGGTTTGTCCGCTACATATATAAATAAAGCTCTGAACGGTTCGGTTTCAGTTCGGTTCGGTTTCGGTTTGGTTTCGGTTTGGTTTCGGTTTTTAAATTATTATTGAACAAAATAAAAATAATTTTTATCACCAATTAAAAAAACGCTATCCCCAAATTTAATCGGTGACAACTGTATTATTCATTTATTCAGGAAAGAATACTTGAAGTGAAAAAATAAATCATTAGTATTATTAATGAGACTTTATATATTTTGGGATAGCATCAGCTTGAAGCGAAGCTAGACAACCACACAGTGAATCTCGGTTTAATGGATAGTTTGGGCAAAAATGGTCACGCGAAAACAGCCATGTAGTTTTGCTCCTCGAATTTAGAAACACAAGACATGGTCAAAAATTTTTGCATGGCCAATATTTATGGATGTTGTGGACCCATCAATAAAAATTTAGATCTTTTAGATGTACATCTCGTGATATTAATATGCATATTACGGAAACACAAGTTTGTGGGCGTTGGAACCTATCTTAATTTTGTGTAATGAATCAAGGTTTTAAAAACAGGTTTTTTAAATTTTGTTTGCGGGTACAAACTTAATGTTAATATTTTGGGAGAATAAAATAATTGAATTAAACAATCAAAATCTGTTTTATAATGTCATCATTATTTGTGCCTTAATCTTAATGTCTGTGCCAACAAAACATGGCAAGCACTGGATTTCCATTTGTTATTTAATTATATTAAAAAAATCCTTTTTCATTTTTATGTAAATACTAATATTTATTTTTCACCAATTTTATTATATATATGAAATCTTTACGTTTATGGTTTTATATTACAAATTTGGTCCGAGGGGTGGTTTGTTTACGATCCCTAATTGATTATCTAGAAATCGTTTTTTTGAAGATTGCTTTTATTTTTATTTTAAAGGCGATGTGGCACACATGCATTATGAATTAAGTCTAATCGAGACTTTTTTGTTCTTTGAGGATTCTTTATTAACCTGTGAAATCCGACCAGTTATTAATGTCAACTAACTATAACCAATATAAATAATTTAATTTATGGACACCAATTTCAAGGACTCAGATAATTGGTGTATAATACAGCAATAGCTTCACTATTACACGTGTTGGGGGTCTAGATTGCTGTTTATTTTCGGGAGAATTTCTCACGGTTGCATTTAAAGTTTTATTATAATATATATATATATATGTAATAAATATATAAATTTTTGATCAAATAATTTTTTTCCTTCATATATATCTTTCTCCATTTTTCTTTCTTAATAATAATAATAATAATAATAATAATAAAATATGGGTGTTAAAATCTCTAGACCAAAAATTACAAGAAAAAAATCAGAACTTTATCGTTCATCGTCAATATCATCATCATTTATTTCCAAAAGTAATACAAAAAACAATAAAATTAATAATAGCAAGACAAAGTTTTTTGGTCGTATCCACGACAACGATAACGAAAATTATATTAATGAGCAACTCATTGGAAAAAATTATTATATAAAACCATTAAATATTTATCAAGATACTCGTAGTTTAATTGATAGTAAAAGAATTAATATAATAACATTGGATGAAAATAGTGTTAGTGATATTGTTGTTAGAAGTGATGATTTTGAAAATAAAGATTATGGTTTACACGAAATTATTAAAGAAACATGGTCAAATAATTTTTCTGCGCCGGTTGACGAAAAATTAATGAATGGAGGCGCGAGAGTTTTAGATTGCGGGTGAGTTTATTATTATTTTTGATTTGACCACATAAAAAATTATAATCCTTTTGATTATTAAAACCATATTAATATTTATTTGTGTATAGCACAGGTTCTGGAAAGTGGATTGTAGAGTTATCAGAAATTTATCCAAAGTCAACGTTTGTTGGAATAGATATTTCAACATCATCAACACCGAATGATGACGTAATACCATTAAATGCCGCCTTCTTCGAGTGTAATATAATCGATGGCCTACCATTTCCTAATGACACATTCGATTATGTCTATCAACATAATTTAATACTAGCATATACTGATATGCAATGGCATGATGTAATGACTGAATTGACAAGAGTAATAAAACCTGGAGGACATTTAGAATTGGTTGATCTTTGCTTCTCTGATAGTAAATTATCTCCAACTGGAAATAGAATTACTACTTCGAGTAAGTTTTTTTTTTATGTACATGTTATATAAAGATTAAAATTAAACAATTTTTTCCATTCATTTAATATTATTATTTTTTTTTTTTGCTCTTTAATATCAATATAATAACAAATAGTCGTGAATTATTTTAAAAGTGTTGACCTTTCACTTGATATTGTTTTGAAATTGCCTCGATATTTTGAAAAATCAAAAGAATTTGATTCGATCAATGTATTGGAAAAACCAATTGAAATAGGCTCTTGGGGAGGCGAAAATGGAGAAAAAGTAGCAGAATGTTTAATATCTACATGGATAGCATTTAAAGGCATTCTAAAAACACTTTTGAATGTTGACGACAAAGGTTTTGACCAATTGATTAATCAATTTTATAACGATACTCGAGATGTAAATAATCATATGATTTGTAAAAGCATACGAATTTATGGTAGAAAGAAATTCACATAATTAATTTTTATCTGTTAGATTTTCATTATTGTAATATTATATAAATAGTTTACACACATACGTGTATGTATGTACACGTATTTTATAATTTATTTGTATTTTTGTAAAATATTTTTTTATCAAACAATTTTTCATTCATGTAATTATTAGTAATGTTAAAAAAGGATAGTAAATAATAAATAATTAGAAATTTTATTAAATAGTACATTATGCGATTATAATTTTTTTTTTTTTTAAATATTAATATACAAAATACCAAAAGAACAATTATTACTAATATTAATATATTAATAATTGACAATATATATCACAAACAATTATCTCGTCATATGTGTTAATTCCAATTTTTCGAAATGTTTTCTTGCTACACTTATATTCATTTGCGTTGCTGCAGATTCTAAAAAAATGTCATCATCATCATCATCATCATCATCATTATTAAGCAAATTAAGAAAGTGAATTTAAAACTTTAAATAAATAAAAAAAAACTTACCAACACTTGGATCAGACATAATAACCATCACATAAGTATTTGTTGTTAACACATCAAAAAAAGCTGCAAAATTGGCTTGCCGTATTTCCATACTTTTAAATTGTGCTAAAGATTTACTGCAATATGATATTGATTGAATTATATATATTAGCGTTAAAAATCAATCGATTAAAGGATTACTTTACTAGCTGGTTAATTGGCTGAATTGATGACTAAACTGACCTACAACTTAATTTAAATTGTTTCATATAATTACTGATCTTTTCAAATCTATGTAAATCTGGATGGTAAATCCTTGACGAGTGAGAAATTACCAAGAATGTAGTCTTTTCAAATAATACAACTTCGTCTGCTTCACAAATAGTTCCAAAATTTTGTAAATGTGTTTCCAATAATTTTATATTCGGAATTAAAGAATGAACTATAGAAGACCATGCCTATATACGATTAATGAAATGAGTATACATATTATATATATATGCATAATTTAATAAATTAATTGATTAATTTTACCTTGTAAAGTGTTTCATCCCATATCGATGTACCAAACGCATTGATCTTTAATGGTTCTGATCGCGTTTTAAGCTCATTGAATCTCTCAGTGTAAATCTTTTTTTTTTAAAAAAAATTAAATTATATTAAAGTTAATTGGTTTGATACATCAATTATTATTAATATTATTACATACTTTATGTCTATACTCTTCTTGTACTAAATCCATCTTATGTATTAAACAAAAAATTTTTGCATCTTTAGAATTTGCCAGTATTGCTTCAAGACAATCTTGATAATAGTGCATATCACGTTCTATTTCACGAGATTCTACATCGAACACATAAATCAACACTTCAACGTTACGAAAAATATGATCTCTTTGTGCTGCAAAATAATTTTCCATAAATGCCTCTTGACTAATTAACATTATTATTATCATCAAAAATATTAATATCGCCTCCTTATAACAATAATAATAGTAACAGCATTTATTTTTTTATAAATACTCACCCACCACAATCCCAAAGATTTAAAACTAAATTGCCAAGAAATCTTACTCTAGAGTTTTCAACATCAACTATTCATAATAATAATAATAAATTAGATAATAGTAAAATTAAAATTATAATTATTTACTTACTTGTTGCTCCTAAACGTCTTGTATCTCTGGCAACATAATTATGAAATATAATGCTACGCATCGAAGTCTTTCCTGACCCACTTTTTCCCATTAAAAGTACCTAATTATTATATATACATACACGTGTAAATTTTAAATATGAAAATTATTATTCACAATTTTAAAAAGCGAGATTAAAGTATATATATATATTAATTAAGAATAACCTTTTTGTTCATTTTTTCAATTTTTTGTAAATAGTGTTGAAAGTGATCTGCATAGATATTTTAAATAATAAATATATTAATTATTAATAAAGTAATAGATTATCAAGGATTTACTATTCTTCAAAAACCAGGTATATAAGGAAACTCTATTTGAAATGTGGCTGCCAACACTATGATTCGAAAAAAAAAAATGTGACTATGACCGCCTCACCATAGATTCGATTAATAGAAAATGGAAAAGGTCACCGGCCTTTATTATGGAAAGAATGTCCTGATTTCACAAATATAGAGATGTTATCGGTTACATTATAATTCGCATTATTAATAAAAAAATTTATCTTGTTTATTTTTGGTATTTGGTCATACCAAATAAAGAATTCCTTATTCACTACGTACCCTCCCTAACTTGTCAATGCTAAAAAAGTTATTTGCAAATTCAAGTTACAAATCAATCAATTCTAACAGGTATTTAATAAAACAAACTTAATTAACTAATTGATATTCCAAATAAATATTAGCCTTAAATTTATTCCATTTAGGTCTTTGAAAATCTCCTGTTATTTTTGAGAATAATAATAGGATCTTGAGATCATTTATTATATGGGCGTACTGCAACAAAAGTGAACATTTGTATTACCAAAAATCTCAGGGATTAAAATTTAGTTATTATCATCACAATAGAACCATCCCTATATAAAATAGTTAATGTGAAGCTCATTAGGATTATGTTTAACATCACATAATGGTGATGATGATGATGGTGATGGTAAGAAATTAGGATTGGGCACCAGAAATTTGTAGTGGCAATTAGTAAACATTTAGAATCATAAAGACAAAGATGATAAATTTTGATTGAACCAAAGAATCCTTCGTCTTTCTTCTTTGCTTATTATCATTCTTATATGCGCATATAAAATAATCTATTACAAATGTATCAGATTTTATTATAAGACAAAATTGACAAAAATTTATTAACAATGATATAAAATTAATAATAATAATCAACAAAAAATTAACACGATTTCATTATTATTTTAAACTCCAATGATAATCTAAATGCTGTTTTAATGCTGGCATATTTTTAAAATACTCTTTATCACATAAATGACAATTTAATGGTGCCTTTAAAAGATTCTCATAATACGCTTTATCAATCTATATGGAATTTATCAATTTGATTAATAATAGTTTTGCTAATTTAAAATAATAAATATGATAGTTGCCTTAATCATATTCCCTTTTTCCAAATAGTTTATAATTTCATCGATATCTATGAAAAATCCAGTAGCAAATGAATTCCAATGCTTTTTATTCTTTAATGATGAAGATATTAAATCTTGAGAGATTACATGCATGTGAAGATGTCTATTGTTTGATAATTGAGGATAAAATATTAATTAAAAATATATAAGTGAATAATAAATGATAATTGATTACCTCATGCTAGTAACTGCATGAAATCCCATACGAAAATCAAGTTTTGGATCTTCTTTTTTTAATCTAATAATAATAATAATAATAATAATAATAATAATAATAATAACAACAGCAACAACAATAATGATAGTAAATCGATATTTCATATTTCTTTTCTCTTTCTCACTAGTGTTCTTTCATCCTATCCTCCTCCTTACCATTACCCACACCTATCGCTCTTACCTATCAACAACCCATTCTCCTTTTTGTTTCATTTTTTTTATCAACTCTAAATCATGCTCCAATAGATCCTCAATTCCATCAATATCAAATCTTGGCATAATCAAAAGATGTTTTTTACCTTTTGGATATTTATCCCAAATAACAACCAAATCGTCATCATAACTATAAACTTCTTGTTCAGGATAAATTTGTGGATTTATTGTATAAGGTATCAAGCCATCTTGCCATGATGAAGCAACTTTATTGGAATCTTTGATTCTCTTCCTAAAAACTTTTGGTTTTGCTGCTGTTGACACTTCTGCTTTTTCACACGTAGCCGTCATGTCATCTATTTAAAATGATTATAGCAGCGCGCATATATATATATATATTATAGGATACGTATATTATTCTTTATAAAGGCTTACATTGAGTAACTTTAGGGTTTGGTCGTTTTAGTTGAATATATTTTCGATTATTTTTTAGATCCCAAAAAGCAGTTAACATTGATTTATAAGATTCTTTTAATAGTCTTTTAGCATCCTCCAACTCTAATGGATCAGTTTTATAACAACTCATATTAGGCGAGACAACACAAATTAACTAATATTAACACATTTATATAATATGTAATTAATTAATCGCTTGATCACGAAAAAAAGGTGAAAAATAAATTATCCAATATTTAATTAATTAAGAACCTGTTCAACGCCTTGAGTTTTATGCAAGTCAGTATTTATTGGAATGGGAACTGGATACACTTCACCAACCTTTGATATATTGTCACATATAAATAAATATTTTTCATAATATATATAGCATACACAATAAAGATAATAAAGTCAATAAAGTCAATAAAGACGGTAATATATACCACACCAGGGTTTGGATATAATTTTTTAATTTCTTGAGAAAATTCTTTGCCTAATTGTTGAATCAACCATTTTCCCAACGATGTCACTTCTAATAATATGTTATTATTTAGTTAACTAATATAAAAAAAACATCCACAAGTATATGAATATATAATACCAAGTTTTAATCTCCATGTTACTTCAATAGCAATATATCTGTATGTATACAAAATAATTATAATATAATATAATAAATATTATTTGAATCCAAAAATAAATATTGTATCGATAAATAATTCGTACCTAATTTTATTTGAATTTGTCAAATTGCCTTGAATCATTTTAAATCTTTGATATTTCAAATTTTGTTGTGGATCACAAATAATTTTCCATTGCTAATTTTTTTTTTTTTTTTTAAATTTACATAGAAAATTACATCGTACATAATTTAAAACAATTTATTGATTATACTAACGGATTCGTATTTTCGTATATAGTCTTCATTATCATCAAAAAGCATCAACTCGTAATCATCATCATCGTCATTGATATTACTACTGCTGCTACTTTCTTCCCCTTTTTTTTTTTGATGTTCATCTAAAAACTCTTTAATCGCCTATACAATATATTAGAATGGCGATCCGGATACTTTGCAACAGCGAAACACATAATAA